TTGTTTTTTGAGACAGAGTCTTGCTCTGTTGCCCATGCTGGAGTGCAGTAGTGTGATCTTGGCTCACTGCAACCTCTGCCTCCTGGGTTCAAGCTATTCTTCTGCCTCAGCCTCCAAAGTAGCTGGGATTACAGATACATGCCACCAACTCTGGCTAATTTTTTATATTTTTAGTAGAGATGGGGTTTCATCATGTTGGACAGGCTGGTCTTGAACTCTTGACCTCAGGTGATCCACCTGCCTTGGCCTCCCAAAATGCTGGGATTACAGGCATGAACTATCACGCCTGGTCAAAAACCAGGTTTTTAATGACTGTGGAGTGACTTGGGAAAATGTTCGTGGAGAATAATACAGTCATCACTCGGAATCTGATTCCAGAATCCCTTGAGGACACCAAAATCCATGGATGCTTAAGTCCTTTATCTAAAATGACACAGTATTTGCATGTAACGTACAAATATCCTCCTGTATACTTTAAATCAGTGGTCCCCAACACTTGTGGCACCAGGGACCCGTTTCACCAAAGACAATGTCTCCACAGATGGGTGGGGGGTCATGGGTTCAGGATGAAACTGTTCCACCTCAGATCATCAGGTATTAATTCTCATGAGGAGTGCACAACCTAAATTCTGCTCATGTGCAATTCACAGTAGGGTTTGCGCTCCTGTGATAATCCATTGCCACTGTTGATCTAACAGGAAGTGGAGCTTAGGGGGTAACACTCATTCACTTGCTGCTCACTTCTTGCTATGCGACCCCGTTCCTAACAGGCCATGGGGTAGTAGCAGTCTGCAGCATGAAGGTTGGTGACCCCTGCTTTTTTTTTTTTGAGACGGGTTTCTCTCTTGTCCCCCAGGCTGGAGTGCAATGGTGTGATCTTGGCTCACTGTAACCTCCGCCTCCTGGGTTCAAGTGATTCTCCTACCTCTGCCTGCCAAGTAACTGAGATTACAGACATGCCACCACGCCTGGCTAATTTTTGTGTATTTAGTAGAGATGAGTTTCATCATGTTGGCCAGACTAGTCTTGAACTCCTGACCTCAAGTGATCTGCTCATCTCAGGCTCCTAAAATGCTGGGATTACAGATGTGAGCCACTGTGCCCAGCTTGGTGACCCCTGCTCTAAATCACCTATAGATTACTTATAATACTTAATATAATGTAAATGCCATGTAACTCATTATTATAATGGATGTTTAAATGTATGTTATATTTTATGGTATATTGTTATTCTTTTTTTTTTTTTTTTTGAGATGGAGTCTTGCTCCATTGCTAGGCTGGCGTGCAGTGGTGCAATTTCAGCTCACTGCAATCTCTGCCTTCAGGGTTCAAGTGATTCCCCTGCCCCAGCCTCCCAAGTAGCTGGGACTACAGGCATGCCCCACCACGCCCGGCTAATTTTCTGTATTTTAGTAGAGACGGGGTTTCACCATGTTGGCCAGGATGGTCTTGATCTTCTGACCTCATGACCCACCAGCCTCAACCTTCCAAAGTGCTGGGATTACAGGCATGAGCCACCACGCCTGGCCGGTTATTTTTTATTTATTTTTTGGAATACTTTCCATTCAAAGTTACAGAAAGCTGATTATATTTGCATGACAGAAACAGAATATAAAATGGCAAATGAAGATACATGCAAACCCATGTACCAGCACATGCATACATACATGCTACTATAGCCTGAATGTCTGTGTCTCCTTAAATTCATATGTTGAAATAGTATTCTCAATGCAATGGCATTAAGACATGGGGTCTTTGGGAAATGATTAGGTCATGAGGGCTCCGCTAACATGAATGGGCTTAGTGCCCTTATAAAATAGCCCAAAGGATTTTTTTGTTCATTCCTTCTGCTATGGAAGATTCCAGGGAGAAGGTGCCATCTATGAAGCAAAGTGCAGGTCTCACTGGACACTGAACCCACTGGAGTCTTGATTTTGGACTTCTCAGCTTCCAGAGCCGTGAGCAATAGATTTCTATTGTTTGAAAATGACCCAGTCTCAAGTATTTTAGTAGCACAGATGGATGAAGACACATAGGTACAGACACAGATACAACTTCGTGCATAGAGCTTTGAAAAAAGACTTCAGACTATTTAGAGTGAGGTTATTGCTATGTGTCAGTGGCTATTAATTTCTTCTTTGCCCTTTTATGTATTTTACTAATATTATCCAACGAGAATAATGACCTTCCCAATAAGAAAGAGAAGCAAACACTCAAGTGTGTGAAGAGTGACCAAGGAAAACGGTCAGATTGATGTGTCAGATTTAGAACAAAATTATTTAAAAATAGATTCAAACTACATTTATGGATCAATTCATGAATACCAGATCCAGCATACCCATCTCATATGCTGACCTGCCAGAAAGGTTTCCCCCCATATTATGTAAAATAAAGACAGATTCAGAGAGGTTGAGTCAATGGCTCAGGGACTCCCAGCAGGTAGGTGACAGTAGGAACCAGGAGACCCTTTAACGCTAATTTTGGTACCTTTCCCGTGACTACTACACCATGCTCTATTCAGGTATTTGTTCAGACAGACTTGGTCAGGTTACAGCTGGAATGACTCAACCCAGTGGACAGGAGTGAAATTACTAGCTCAATTAAAAAGGTAAGACGGTTTGATGAAAACTTTACTACTAGACATAAACAAAGTGTTTAGAGCCTAGTCTCACAGACACACATGAACTTAGAGGCATCGATTTCACAGATGATTTGTAAAGCAGGCATCAATTTAAACCTTTACACCCCTGCTGCTTCAACTGTAAAAATGCATCCAAAGCTCAGCTATGGCCAGAGACACTGTTGTGTGATGGAATCCTGTACACCTGCAAAATCCAGCCCTCCTGCCACTTTGGGTGTTGGGGAATATTGGAGAAGATGGAAAAAAATAAAGGAGGAAGGGGAGAAGGCATTTGTCACTTCTTCTTGTGCTGAAACCATTCCACCTTCCACTATCCATTATCCTCCTGGCACCCCCACCCTCTTTTTGAGACAGAGTCTTACTCTGTCTCCCAGGCCGGAGCGCAGTGGTGCCATTTTGGCTCACAGCAACCTCTGCCTCCGAGATTCATGCAATCCTCCCACCTCAGCCTCCTAAGCAGCTGGGACTACAGGCACACA